ACGCTCGTGTGCGGGTAGAGTGCAGTAAACTGAATAGAAAGTCCTTTATAATTTTTGCAATAATAATTGAGATATTAATTAAAAAGCATTGACGAATAATCGCGCGTTGCGCACGTTCGACAACGCACGACGAGAGCAGGAGTAATACGCTTCGTTGTTATATGCTTTCCCTATTTTTATTCTTATGTAATTAATACAAAATAAATAAATAAATAAATTAATTATTCAATACATACATATACATATTGAATATAGTTATCTTTATTTTGTATTTTATATAATGACTGAAATGATATTTACTCTCATTATTTCAGTCATTATCATATAAAATACAAAATAAAGATAACTATTTATTCAATATATGTGTATATGTAAATATTAATTAATTGGTTAATTAGTTATTTTGTATTTACTACATAGGTATTTACTACAATAACAAAAACGGGAGATCGTCATATATCAGAGCGAATTTTGCCGCTTGTAGTAAACAACTTCCCGCGCACCTAGCGATCATGATCGCTGGGCGGTTGTATCTCGCCGCGCGCTTGCATTCGATATGGCGATAGGCTGGACGGATACGTGCTTATTCGGTGACTTTTAGTAATTATAACTCGTTAATTGTTGCGAAAATTGCAAAATGATACAGGACTTTTTGATTCAGTTTAGTCCGTTCTATCTGCACACGAGCGCTTTATCAAAATTTTTGGGACACCCTGTATAATATTATATATATATTTTTATTAATTATTTTATCATATTTTGTTCATATTTATTTGACACCTTGTATACGCCTATGTCGTCTCGTACATTATATTGCAGCCTTGTGACGAAATTTTAGTCGAGGAAACAAGCGCAAGAGTCGTTTGTTTACAAACTATCCGATAACGCTTACACAGACCACACGTCAGTGTAGTAAGTTACCACTACAAACAAATGCGTACACACAGACCTACGCGGCGTAGGTCTGTAGGCTACGCCGATAATGTTATTCTCGTTTTTAGTTCTATCGAAATGATGGCGCTTTCGCGTCGGAATTCGTCTGGCACTCCAGCATCCTCTTACCAGGTGTACAAGTATAAAATGCGGATTCTTTTAAAAAAAAAAACACGTTAAATTCGGAAGAATGATAAAAAGTAATTTACTCAAAGTATGCTCTATTGCTAGTTATACATTTTTCCCATCTTTTGGGTAATTTGTAGATACCACGCCAGTAAAAATCTTCCCCTTTTGCCGCGAACCATTCATCGAGCCATTTTTTCACATCTTCGTACGAACCAAAGCGCTGCTCAGCAAGTGCGTGACCCATCGATGCAAACAAGTGGTAATCGGAAGGAGCCAAGTCTGGTGAGTAAGCCGCATGGGCTAGAACTTCCCAGCTGAGTGCTTCCAATGTGTCGCGAACCGGTTTTGCCGTATGTGATGGAGTATTGTCATGGAGAAAAATGATCTTGTGTTGCCTTTTTCGATATTCTGGTCGTTTTTCGAGTAGCGGACGGTTCAAATCGATCAATTGTTGTTGGTAGCGTTTGGTATTAACCGTTTTACCAGGCTTTAACAGCTCATAATAGACCACACCCTTCTGGTCCCACCAAACACAGAGCATCGTCTTCCTGCCAAAACGATTCGGTCTTGCGGTTGATGTGGATGATGCGCCTGGGTATACTCATGATTTTTTGCACTTGGGATTTTCAAAATATATCCACTTTTCATCCCCAGTAACGATACGATGCAAAAACGACTTTTTTTGTATCGTTCGAGCAAAATTTCACATGTGTTTTTGCGCCTCTCCATCTGCCTCTCGTTCAACTCATGTGGTATCCATCTGCCGACCTTCTGAATCTTTCCCATCTCTTGTAGGCGATTGGAAACAGCTTGTTGACTAACGCTCAATTGCTCTGCGAGTTGTTTTTGTGTTTGTGAATTGTCTTCGTCCAACAATGCTTGCAATTCTACATCTTCGTATCTTTTTGGTGGTTTTCCGTGTTCCTTGTCTGCAACATCGAAATCACCACTTTTGAAACGCCGAAACCATCGTTCACACGTATCTTGTGATGGAGCATGTTCACCATAAGCTTCTCGAAGTAATCGGTATGATTCAGCAGCAGTTTCCTTCAAATAAAAACAAAAAATTAACACTGTTCGCGAATGCTCTTTATTTGGCACAAATTTCGACATATTGAACACAGCAAAACAATAATATGCAAACACTTTTTCAATTTATCGCGCACTTGTGCGCGTTGACTTTTGTTGATGGCACAACTAAATGGCATATACTTCAAATTTTTATACTACACACTGCATTGGTACACTATCTGTTGTCTCAAATCTGCATTTCATACTTGTACACCTGGTAAGTATCAAAATATTCTCCGTTATTATCTATGACTTTGCGCCATCTTTCGGGCAGCTTACGAATTCCGGCAGTGAAGAAAGTTTCGTTTAAAGTTTTGATTTAATAAAGTCGTCGACCCATTTTCGCACTTCTTCAATATTCCGGAAGCGTACCTCAGACAATGCGTTTTGCATCGAACGGAACAAGTGATAATCACTTGGCGCTATATCTGGCGAATAGGCCGGGTGCGGTAGAACATCCCAACCAAGCGTCAATAATGTTTCTTTGACCGTTTTAGCGACATGAGGCGTAGCGTTGTCATGAAGCAATTTCACCGAACGCAATCCTTTGCCAGTATATGGACGTTTTCGACGGATTTCTTCGTTCAATCTCAATAGTTGTCGACTATAGCGATCACCATCAACCGTTTCACGTGGTTGCAGAAGCTCATAATATAGCACACCCTGCATATCCCACCATATACAGAGCATTACCTTTTGGTCGTGGATATTCCGCTTTGGCGTTGATGTGGATGGTTGGCCGGGGTCTACCCATGATTTTTTTCGCTTGGGATTATTGTAATGTATCCACTTTTCATCACCCGTTACGATTTTCCACAGGAAAAACTTTCTGTGCTGTTTGTTGTACAGATTCAGACACATTTCGACACGGTTATCTTTGTTCTTCTGGCTCAATTCGTATGGTACCCACTTTCTCTCTTTCTGAATCTTTCCCATCTTTTGTAAACGGTTAGAAACGGTTTGTTGCTTTACTCCCAGTTGTAATGCAAACTCTTTTTGCGTTTGGGACGAATTTTCATCGAGTAATGCTTGCAATTCATCGTCCTCAGTCTTGAGAGGGGCTCCGCTACGTTCACGATCGCTAACGTCGAAATCATTTTCTTTAAACCGTCTAAACCAAAATTTACACGTACTTTTGGATACAACATTGTCTCCAAGAGTCAAACAAATTGATGCACACGCTTTTGCGGCGCTCTTTCCTTGATGGAATTCATAGCGAATGCAGTGCCGAATAAATTGTTTCTCGTTTGCCATTTTCAAGCTGCTGTAATTTTAGATTACACAAACAATATCGTGAAGTTGGTTGTTATTTTTTATGTTACCATATAAACACTACAAAATTGGAAAAGAGCGGGAGAATATTTAAATTTTGAATTACTTTCTTATGTTTTACAAAAAACGGTTTAAAATTTATTTGTACCTCTAATAGAACAATCACTGATATAAGTTTCTATGTATTATAACATCTAGTAACCCCATCTATGAGAAAAGTATCTTTCAAAGAATCATTTTTGTACATTTTGGCTTGTGTATCCTAATTTGATCAGTCGGCGAAAACAAAAGTAACACGCGAGTAGTGAGCAGGCAGAAGCTTTACTTTTCGTTGCCGCGCGGCACTCACTTAGCACACGCCTACAGCATGTATTTTACAGTTAAGCCAAGTGAAATGCGCGCTTATTCGTCAATTTTTTTTAATTAATTTTTTCATAATTATTGCAAAAATTGTAAAATGGTAAACTTATCAGTTCGGTTTATTGTGCTCTATCTGTTCACGAGTGTTATCGTAGTTATTCTGAGACACCTTCTTTGCGTATATTGTATATCTATTGTTTATTCGTATAAAACTTATCTATATTTCGGGTGGACTTCCGAAAAGCTATCACCTCCGATTTGGCTTATATTCAGCCTAAATACTTATTTTATCTAGTAAATAATATTCCCAAATGGATTTTTGGTGCAAATGCCCTCTTTGCCCCCAACCCCCCTCAAAGGTTAAACTGTTTTTGTTAATTATTTCAGAAAATATTCATTGTACGGAAAAAGTACAAACAAAAAATTTGTCAAATAAAAAATAAAGCTCATAAAAAGCTCTACAAATAAGGTCTTACACATATTTTACCTAACTCCAATATTTTAGTCGTTATTATCAAAAAACTTGTAAAAGCCCTCATAGGAGGGGCGACATCCACTGCATCCACGCATACACTTTACAACGCGAAGTGAGATTCCACATGGGTTTACGACTTTCTACGCAAAGCGAGATTCAATTTAGACCCTATGTGTACAGATTTTTGATTGTGGAGCCTTTTGCAGGGGGGCGGAACGCACTGCCTCCACGCATACACTTTCTACGCAAAGCGAGGTTCCACATGGGTTTACGAATTTCTACTCAAAGCGAGATTCAATCCAGCCCCTATGTGTATAGTTTTTTGATGGTGGAGCCCCCCCGCAGGAAGACGGAACATACTGCCTCCAGATTTTTGATAATAACGGCTAAAATATTGGAGTTAGGTAAAATATGTATAGCACCTTATTTGTAGAGCATTCTATGAGCTTCATTTTTTGTTTGACAACTTTTTCCGTACAATGAACACTTTCTGAAATAATTAACAAAAACAGTTTTACCTTTGTGGGAGGCTGGGAGCATTTGCGCCAAAAATCCATTTGGAAATATTATTTACTAGATAAAATAAGTATTTAGGCTGAAAATAAGCCAAATCGGAGGTGATAGCTTTTCGGAAGTTTATTTCATATTTTTTTGTATTTATTTTTGTATGACTGTTCCTTTACATAATAATTTCATTATTTTCAAAGTATCTTGATTATATATATTAATGTACTATTAAAACTTTTAAATTGTTATTTAGATAAGAAAAATATACACGAACAAATGGAAATAACTACTTTGCCATCGCATCAAGAAAATAAACTTGGAAAAATACTAATGTGTTTCTCCATTTATACAAATACGAAAATAATATTGAGTATGAAAGTAGAAGGTGATTCAATACCTATTATTTACGGTTTAAAATTGATTTCCACGATTTGGATAATCAGCATTCACATTGCTTTTTTCTCAATTGATTATATTGGCAAGTAATTAAAAAAATTGTATTGTTTGTATTATATTTTACAATTAGTATTTTTCATGCATAACAGAAATCATTTTGTATATAGATAATAAAATATGGGCTCTCAGATTAAGCGCCAGCTTGCCCAGTCAAGTATTCACCAGTGCGACTTTAGCAGTTGAGACGTTTCTTTTTCTAAGTGGATTTTTAATGACCTACTCATATCTAAAGCATGAAAAAGGTCAAGAAAAAACTATACCGATTCCCTACAAAGCGAAACTAAATAAGTTCTTTTTTCTTATAATAAAAAGATTTATACGGTGTGTTCTTCATTATTTCGTTTCATATAAATAATAACAAAACAACTCAAAAAGTATAATAAAATAAATAATATAGTAATAAGGAAAATAAAAGAATATATAGTAAGAACAATTTAAAAATCAAAGTTAAGGAATGAAATAAGTAATAATAACTTTTACAAAAATTTATTCATAACTTTTATTTTAAGGTTAACACCCGCTTATATGATGATGATTGGAATAACACAATTAAATTGGTTTTGGTACGACAAAACATCACAATTTTACATGAGTGACAAACTGCACGAACTTTGTGCGAAATATTGGTGGAGAAATCTTTTGTATATTAATAATCTTTTCGATTATTCTACAATGGTATATATATATATATATATCTGTACATAAAGGATATTTTAATACAAGCTGACTGTTTTAAATTTGCCGCCATTCTGCACAATTGTCACTTTAACATGTGAAGTTTGACGTATATAATTTAGAGACATGAAAAATTAGTTATGGAACACTATAAAGTTCAACAACATGTGCAAATCATGAGAAATTATTATAAAAATAATGGTTTGATTAAAATCGTGCAGCAAAAATTACGTGTTATTTTCGGACAAAATCATGTGCCATCAATCAACACAATTAAGAATGAAAAATGAAACACATAATAAAAAAATTTGAAGAAAGTGGTTTGATTAAGGATCAAAAAAGGCCTGTGCGTGATCGTAGTGGTCGCTCGACGGAAAATGTCGCTGCAGTAAGCCGGAGTGTGGCCGATAATCCGGGAACCTCAATTCGACGACGTACCCAGCAGTTGAACATTTTAGCAAGCTCTGTGTATTCATCTGAGTTCAGCGAATTTTGAAGAAAGATCTGCATTTACACGCATACAAAATACAGTTAACTCAGGAATTAAAGCCTAGAGATCATGTACAGCGTCGTACATTCGCCGATTGAATGCTAGAACAAAAAATAATTGACCCTCATTTTTTCACCAAAATCATTTCAAGCGACGAGGCTCATTTCTACCTCAATGGCTACGTGAATAAACAAAATTGTCGAATTTGGGGAGCTGAAAATTTTCAAGTGGTTCATGAGCAACCAATGCATCCTGAAAAAGTTACTGTTTGGTGCGGTTTCTGGGTGGGAGGTGTGATCGGGCCTTACTTTTTCGAAAATGAGAATGGAATTGCAGTGACAATGGATGGCAATCGATATCGTGACATGCTTTTGAACTTTTTTTTAGCACGAATTGAATGGAATAAACTTAGATGATGTGGTTTCAATAAGACGGTCTGCCGCACTGCGCGCGAAACACTAGAGTTATTAGGTCTGTTCTTTATAGCTGAACTGGCTGCACTAGTTCAGAGTTTATCTTTCTCCTTTAATATAGAGGCAAAAAGATAAACTCTGAACTAGTGCAATCAGTTCAGCTATAAAGAACAGACCTATTGCAGCGTAAGTTTCCTTGCCGTGTTATTTCTCGTTTTGGCAACGTGAACTAGCCTCCGAGATCGTGCGATTTAACACCACTGGATTTTTTTCTCTGGGGCTTTGTTAAAAGCAGAGTCTACGCCAATGATCCCACAATAATTCCTGAGCTCAAACACAATATTCGACGCGTCATTGGCGAAATAAAGTCAAGTTTATGTGCAGATGTCTTGAAAAACATGACCAAACGAATTGTCGTCTGCCAGAAGAGCCGAGGTGGCCATTTGAACGATGTTATATTTCATACATAATTTCCATGTATTAGTTTTACAATAAATAAAAAAAATCAAAAACATTCCCATTATTTTACGTTTTATAAAAAAAAAAACAGTTAGCTTATATTGAAACACCGGATATATACATATGTTTATTTAAAATGGTTTAATATCATGCTTATGTAAAAGCTTATTTATTCTTCAAACCTTATTTTTTTGCAGTGCATGTCTTGGACTTGGTATCTTGCCATTGATATGCAATTTTATATAATCAGTGTTGGCCTATTAATTTTATCTACTATGTAAGTTGACTGTCTATATTGACGGCATCACACAGTTAATTTCTTTAGTGCATATGTTTAAATAAGTAAATTTCAGGTACTTTTACATAGCTGTCGTCATCTTGGGCATTCTTTTAATTGGCACAATTGTGTTTTCTGGCTATATTTCATATGCATACGAATATGTTCCGACGTAAGTTATAGAAAGTAAGTCATAAAATTTATTATTAAATAAATGTTTTTTTCTCGTTGTTACAGATTCGATGAAATGTTCAGACTTGCAAATGTTTTATATCTTCCATCATGGATCAGAATAAGTTCATATCTTGTTGGAATAATTACGGGTTACATTTTAGTAAAGCTAAACAAAAAATTGAGCTTAAATAAGGTAAAATGTTATTTGTATTTAAATATAAATATCTTGAAAAATGCGCAGTTATTAAAATAATTATATAATATGTGAATAAACTATTAAATAATTATTTTTAAATTAATTATTTAAGAAAAAATAATTGTTTAGTTTATTTAAATACTTAAGTATTTAAGTATATTGTTTTCATTATCATTATTATTATCATTACTATAATATTTTTATAAACCTAATAATATTAAATCTAATTAATTTTAGCAAATTCTAATTTTATGTTGGTTCCTTGGAATTACTTGTAACATTTCTGTGTTATTCGGTCTTTATAAGCGACAGATATCAGTTCTATCTAGTGCTATCTATATCGCATTAAGCAAAAGTGCTTGGACCATTGGTATAGGATGGATTGTAATAGCATGCTCTACTAAAAACGGAGGTTTGTTGTATTACGATATAAATAAATATTATTATCAAATCTATGCATAAATGTAACAAATAAAATTGCTGCAATGTATTATGCATAATTTTTATTCTGCTTAATTTTATTTTTGATCAATTTTTTAACTACATATTGTTATAATGAGTACAATAATGTAAAGAAAAACGCTATGGTTTTGAGAAATGTAATTCCTATCATTAAATGTTTCTTTTTTATTACAGGCATTATTGAGAAAATATTATCATTCAGAGGCTTTATCCCTCTTAGTAAACTCACGTATTGCGCTTATCTTATACATCCTTTTGTCATACAATCGGTTAACTTGTATGCTGAAACAGCCAGCCATGCAGAAATACCGTACCTAGTAAGAATATGAACATCTAAAACTGATATCGATAAAAAATACTCTTATTGTCACAATTTTTGTTTTCAGGTTAATAGGTTTTTTGGATATGTTGTGATGTCTTTCGGATGCAGTTATATATTAACCTTAATGGCAGAAATGCCGTATATCTTGCTAATGCAAATGTATACCCAATCTCGCGGTGGAAAAAAACATAGAGAATTTGAAATTGCAGTTTCGCATACAAAATTGTGACGGAAATACTGTGTGTTAGCCGACACATTAGTGTGCATTGTTCAATTGTAATTATATTTAATTAATCTAAAATGCGAGATGTAAAATTGTTATTATGGAATAAAATTAACTTCTAAATTAAAAATTCTTACTTTACTAAATAATAATTTTCAATAAATATTTTTATTAATTATACATGATGATCTATTTTAAATGTTTACTTAAAATATCTCAAAAGAGATGTATTTCAAGAAATGTTTTCGACAAAAGTTTTCAGATAACCAAGTCTACCGAAAACATATTTTGCCAAAACTTGTTACAAAATTGACAATAAAAATGTAAATTTAATACAGGATTTGTTTTATCCGATAAAGTCACCACAATGCTAGCAGAAATGTAACAAAATCTGTTGACATAATTTTGACAGCAAATCGGCGGCAGAATACAAACAAACCTATTAATATAACCTGAGAGCAAATTGATGCCAAAAGCCGAATAAAATTTACGCAGTGTTAAAATAAATTTATAAATTTATCTTATTCATTTGCATCACTAAAATTCATAAAAAGCTGTCGTATATATTTCCAAAAATTTCTTTGCTTTCCTTCCGTTTTTACGATAAGTTTCATCCTAAAATGTGCATTAATAAATAAAATTATATATAAAAATCCAATAAATATTGATTATTTAAAAATGTATTAATTTTTTAATGTCTTTTTTGTATTCAAACAAAATAAATATTCAAAACAAGCTATTCATTGGTAAACGAAATGTGGACAAACGAGATGTCGGCAATCAATACTGTAGGCAATCAATATCAGCGGGAATTGTCGGAAAACAAAGCCGCTCACGACTGTCTTCTCTATCTGGTCAAGATGCATCGTGAATTATTCATGGTGAGTGCCGAAGCGTCGTCATTTCTCGATCGCAATCGCTTAGTTCGATCCGCAGGCGCGGAGATCGCTCGCACGAGTAGGAAGGGCCCGGCTCATGCTTCTTCCGGTTCTTTCAGGTTTCATCAGACATGTTGACGCAGTGCCACTTTAACTACATGGAAGAGAGCATTCCAGTGGCGTTGGAGGAATTGGGTTCGGAATTGAAGCAGGATTGGAGGGGTTATTCTATATGCTTGCACTACGGCATTGTTGAAAGAAGCGCGAGAAAGTTAGTACATGTCATCATTATGATTAATTTATTTGTGAAAATTTTAAAAACGATTAAAACAGATCAATAAAATTCATTTATTAGACTGGAATCTTAAATTATAAAAATTGGTAAATCTAGCAATTTTCAGAATTTACATTTTCTTTATTACTGTTAAAGTTTTAGATGGGTGAACAACAGAAAACACGACTACACACGTTGCGTGGTATAACTTGACAGACTTATTATTGGCTTCTTAACAAAAAAAAGTGTCCGCGAGAGGGATAACAATACGAGACGCCTAACGGCTTAAAAACAAAACAATAATACAAGGAGCGCTGTAGGACAGAGATATCCTATTCATATAAAAAAAAGCAAAGTAGCGCGAATTATAAAAATAAAAAACACAAAATGTGAGAGTTTAAATTAGTTTTAACACTCCCACCGCTTGTACATTTTGTAAGGTATAACAAAAAACTTAAATCGCGATTTACGCATTTAATAACGTCTCTCTATTTACAACACTTATTTCGTGCCGTAAATATTTAAACCGATCTCGTGGTAAGCCTTTTGTGAAAATATCGGCTAGTTGATTTTGACTTGAAATGTATTTTACATCGATTTCATGATTCGCAAGCTTCTCTCGAATGAAATGATAGCGCACGTCGATATGTTTTGTGCGACTGTGGAATTCGGAATTTTTAATAAGCTTTATCGCACTTTGATTATCTATCATAATCACGGTCGCATCTTTGTATCGACGCCCGATATCAGACAGAAGCTTTTTTAACCAAATTGCTTCTTTCGTCGCCATGCATGCGGCGATATATTCAGCTTTTGTAGTGCTGAGACTCACAGTTGCCTGACGTTTTGAATTCCAAGTAACTGGACCGTCCATGATTTTAAAAATATATCCGCTAACTGAGCGATGTCCGCTGCGTAGTCAGAGTCGCAGTATCCAATTAATTTTGGATCGGATTTATTTCCGTTATATATGATTCCAAAGTCTAAAGTTTCTTTTAGGTATTTGAAAATCCGTTTTACTGCATTCCAGTGAGATGTGTTGTAATTGTTTAAATATCGACTAACGACTCCGAATGCGTAGGAAATGTCAGGCCTTGACACGGAGGCTAAGAACAAGAGGCCACCAACTGCCTCACGATACGGCGTGTTTCGGCATATTGTGTTTTCGACATCAGCTGATCGTAGATTTACATGAGGATCAGCGGGAATTGATACGGGATTCGCATCGGATATATTGAAGCGAACTAGTAGACGGTTGATGTAATGTTTTTGATGAATAAAAATAGTGTTATTCGGACGGTCGCGCTCGATCTCCATTCCGACAAACGTATTACCGTTTCCTTTGGTCATTTCAAAGGTGGTATTAAGAGCTTGTAAAATTTTATCTAATACTATTTGTGATGATGCTAGTATAAGTCCATCATTCACGTAAAGGGCAAGATATACTTTTCCCCCTTTGAATTGACCGATGTAAACGCATTGGTCGGCGTCGCTTTGTTGAAAATTAAATTTTTGCAAAAAATCGCTGAATTGCCTATTCCAGCATCTTGCTGCCTGCTTGAGGCCATACAGAGCCTTATTTAATTTACAGACTATATTTCTGTCTTTTGTCTCGACTCCTTCTGGTAATTGCATATAAATTTCCTCGTTCAAAATTCCATTGATAAAAGCGGTTTTAATGTTAAATTGACTTATTTTTAAATTTTCATGTGCGGCGATTGCTAAAAGGACACGAATCGAATCGTAGCGAACCACAGGGGAGAAGGTTTCGGTATAGTCCAGTCCAGCCTTTTGCGAGAAGCCTTTCGCACATAATCGGGCTTTGAAACGAATACTATTTTCTGTAGGATTTTCTTTTATTTTAAAGACCCATTTACACCCAATTATGTTATGATTTTTAGGTAAAGGAACTAGAGACCACGTGTCGTTCTTCTGGTGAGCTTCAAGCTCTTCTTTAATCGCCAATTTCCATTGACTCGCATTTTCCCCTGTAGTTGCCTCGATATATGTTACCGGTTCATTAAAAATTGCTACACTCGCTTCATAACGACCCGGCGCTTTTATTAACCGTCGGTCTCTTAGATTATACGCGTCATTATGCTCGGCTTGTCTTAAATTTTCCCTTTCGTTGATTAACTCTAATTGATCGTTTTGTACATTCTCGAAAAGCTCAGTTATATTTTCGTCCGGATTTGCAATTTTTATTAATGTTTTGCCGGATTCTGTGTCTGGTTTATTGTCGGATATTTCGTTAATTATGACGTCCCTTGTTACTATTATTTTGTTTGTTGATACATCAAAGAGCCGACAGTTAGTAGATTCGCCTTGATATCCTACTAAAACTAATTTATTCGATTTAGGATCCTATTTCTTTCTATGCTCTTTAGGCACATGCGCGAACGCGTCACTTCCAAATTTTCGTATGTGTGACAAATCAGGCTTTCTATTATACCATTTTTCGAAGGGAGTAATGTTACACGATTGCGAAGAAATGCAACGATTTAGTATATATACGGCTGTGTTCACAGCCTCAGCCCAAAGACGTGTGGGTAGATTTTTGGCGTGCAACATTGTGCGTGCACATTCTACAATTGTTCTTATTTCCCTTTCTGAGCGACCGTTTTGTTCATGAGTGTACGGTGCAGATGTTTCAAGTGTAATTCCGCGAAGGG